TCATTTCTACTTTAGAGATAAAGAAACTGAAATGCAAACACATTGAGTAGTTGCTTTTAGATCAATTATGGTGAGCAGTGGTAAGGTCCTGTCCAAGTCAAACACAGCCTATAAAGTGACAGCTAGGAAGACTGTATACCAACACCAATACCCCTGAAGACCATGGCTGTTTCTTGCTAAGCTGGGCATTAGAGAGATTTCTGATCCTCAGTTACTTTATGAGTAACTGAATGTGATAGTTTAAGTGTTGAGCCCTGAGCAGAATGCCTGGTTCATACTAAATTTGCAATAATAGTTAATTTTATATTTGATATAAGATTTTAGTATATAATATTATAAATATTACTTTATAATAAAATATAATTGATATGATATAATAAAATATTAGTTAATAAAATATTCTTATATTTACATTATTCTTCTAAAAAATAACCATTGAAAGTTTCACATTGTGGCAGGTACCACATGGGTCGTTTGTGGTAAAGTATGTAGAATTTGCAGGTCACCCAGAATAAACAGCAATAATTTTTTATGTAATAAGTATGTTTAGTATAAATTTTATGAGCAAAAAAATTTAATAAAAGGAAATAGAAAAACCAAATCAGTTATCACTTAGGGCAATAAAAATTTAAAGAAATAGCACTAATTACATTTGTAAGCTTCTAAATTCTAAAGGTTATTGGTATCTAGCCTTCCTTGAAGACCATTGCAACATTAACTAATCCTGGTAGTGTTTTACACTCCCAACAGTGATGATTCTAGAATTTTCCCTCTGCTTTTTTAAGACTTTCTTCCTCTACTCCAGTGCACACAGCATTTTAACCTTTAATGTTGGCATTAGCCACCATCAGGGAACATTTTAAGGATGTTTCTAGGGGAATAAAGACCAAAATAATTCCTTCTTATATATGGATCATGCATCAGTTAGGTTTGGCTGTACAGCCAAATACCCCAATACTTAAGGGTTTAATATATAGCCATGTATTTCACTCACCGTTCTTCCTGCTTGCTCTTTTGGTCTAGGCTAGAAGGGGATTAGCTAATCTCAGTTTGAATTGCCACACTACACTCAAATGGATGCTTTGGTAGCCTGTTTCAACTCTCCCAGTGCCTGTGTCAGTAAAAAGCAGAATCATCCATATGTGGCTCTTTTGGGGCTGGTGTGACCGGAGTCTCTCTTGCAGAATTTCAAAAACAATTAATGTATTTCCCCGGCACTTCTTTCTCAAGACTTCTTACCTCTGAGGTTGAGTCAGTGACTTCTGCCCTGGATCAGACACATACCCAGACCCCCGCCCCATAAGGGTGTGCCTAGTACATAACTATTTCTCCCCAGTAGCACATTCTCTTCCTTTATAATTCCTTTTTTCTCCCCCCTCAAGCCAGCTATGGTGCTACACACCTTTAATCCCAGTACTCAAGAGGCAGAGACTGGCAGATCTCTGTAAGTTCAAGGCAATTCTGGTCTACATAGCTAGTTCCAGGCCAAACATTGCTACACAGTGAGACCCTGTCTCAAAAAAAAAAAAAAAAAAAAAAAAAAATTTGTTTTCTCTGTGCCCTGAAATAAAGAGAGTCTTCTCCTCTTGATGGAAAGAACTATAAAGTCACATTGCAACAGTCTGGATGCTGAGAGGGAAAGAAATTGTGGCTGTTTTGTAATCACCCACAGGCCTGGCTTTGTGGATCCTATGTGTGTCATTCTGTCCCTGATCACCAGGCAGCACAGAATGTTGCTACGTTAAAGAGAGCAGGGCAACTCTTTCTAATACGCCTTTTTTTTTCTACTTAAAACAAAATGTTCCTGGATGTCAGTAATTCTCAACCTAAAATAGCTGCCTCAGCCTCAGTCAAACAGCCTTTAAGCTCTTTAGAATGCATTCATCACAGAATGGAGAAGTGACAGACACACTCTTAAGAGGAACTCCCAAGACCAAAATATCATCTGTCACTTCCGACAGAAGATGGCATGTATGCAGGGAGGGGGAGATGGAAACTGGAGCAGACCCCCTGGAGAAGACTGCTCATGGTCATCGCTCACTGTGTGGTGCAGAAGCACAGTGGGGCACCAAGGATTTTGCAGAAAATATGAAGAATATAGACCCCCATTCTGGGAAAGCCTGCCCTAATGAGTTCCACTGCTTAAAGTAAGTCATGGACAGAGCATGATTGATGGCAGGATAGAACCCCTAACTGAATAGAGCTGAAAATGATGCTGGGCTCCCCTCCCCAAACCTGAGAGCTGCTGGGCCATTAGCAGACAGCTACATTCCCAGTGGGGGAAGGAAAGGTTAAGGAGAGAAACAGCCAGTGACCAAACCCAAATGATCTGTGCTTTTCAGCTTCTGAGAGGCATCCTGACTTGTCATCCTCACATTCCCTAGACTCAGGCACAGAGCTCTGTGCTTTCAATTTCTGCAGATTCTATTAGCTCTGCCTCTGTCCCTCCATCCCATCACCAGGTCATTGCCTGAGTTCATGCCCTACTGCTGTAGCTCAGACTCTAACTGAGCTTCCTGTCTCTAGGCTTACCTCCTTTCTGTCAGTCCTGCCCACGTTGTAAAATGCAATCCAGGCATGTCACTGCCACTATCTCCTTTAGTTTCACAGAGCTCTCAGAATCAAGTTCACGTATTTTGGTATGCCCCCTCCCATGTCCTTGTTCTCCACATCTTCACCCAGAGCTCTCTTCTTACTCCAGGCCCCTCCACACAGCTCCAAAACAGTCATTAGAAACTACTTGTGGTTCCTTAAAATCTGACTTGCTGGTTTAGGTATTCAAGTCCTTGTATATTTTTTTCCTTCTTCCAGGAAAATGCTGCCCCAACCCCCACGCCATCCAAGACTTACTCATCTTTCTAAATTCAGTTCAAGCACCACCTCTTCCAAGAAACCTTTCTTAAGCATCCTAATCCAATATAGAGGCTCCTCCTCTGTGCTCCTCTCAGGGCCTTGCTATCTCTCTCATGGCTTTGCCACATTGTGCTGAAATGCGTGCTCTGTGGCCTGTCTCTGGGTGGTTGCATTTTATTCAATTCTCTGAGTATTAAATAAAAGATAGTTCATGAAAGGATGGATGGATGAATAGGGGCAGTTATCTGCACTTGACTCTTTTTGGATATTATGTGGTCCTATGCTCTCTCTTGAAAGCTACAGGTAATTTATTATAGCTGGCAACTCTACCTCTTAGGTTCATCCCGTACATTCTGCGTCACACTTAGGCACATGGCCAGACCTGCCTTTGACAAGTTACTTCTAAATTGTTTCTTTATGCTTTTTCCTTCCAAACTCTTATTCTTCCAAAACTTTGAGGGAGAGAGAATTTGACAGGAAATACATATATTTTTAATAGAGAACAGCTTAAAGTAATAATATCTGATAATTACATAATAATTTATATCTTGGGAGATTCTCCCCTTCATCATCTTCATCTGTATAACAACTGCTGCGAGGTAAGCCACACAGGCACTCTCATTTCATAGTATAACCAAGAATACTTAAGGTTTTACAAGCTTTGAAACTTGATGGAATCATGTAGGGTAATAAAAAGTAAAATGCCAACTTCTCTGTTTTTAATTTTTTCATTTCAATTTTCAAAAGATTGCTCTTAGGTGGAATAAGAAAACCTTAAATGTAAGAGGAAAGCAATCCTAATTATAGAGATAGACCATAGCAAAGGTACTTCTCTAACTCAATCAAATAACACTATTTAAAGTGCCACTCCTGGGCTGGAGAGGTGGCTCAGCGGTTAAGAGCACTGACTGCTCTTGTAGAGGACCTGGGTTTGATTCCTGGCACCCACACAGTGGCTACGAAGCATCCTTAACTCCAGTTCCAGGGGAATCCAAAGCCCTCCTCTGTCCTCCGTGGCATTGCATAACACGGGTACACTCACATACATGTAGGCAATACACTCTTACACATAAAATAAAAATAATAAAATAGTATATATACATAAAGTGCCACTCCCTTCCTCCCTGACCCACTCCTATGACTGACCAAAGTTGGTTAGAGGTAGCATAGGAATAGCATCTGGTTTCTTTGATTACATATCTAGAAATAATTATTCTATAATCAATGTTCATGAAGTGGGAGAGTTTGGGAATTCTTTGCATAAATATGCTGATAAGGCTCAATCTTGACTAATGACCTGAGCACCATGAGCATCAAAAACAGCTTCTATCCACAAATGGGCTTCTCTAGGATCTGTATAGATATGTATCTTCATGATATGGTAACCTGCACTACAGATCTTCTGGAAGACCACCCTGCTGCTCAGGACAAGTGTGTGTGCAGTTCTAGCTGGACTGTAAAGAAGTAAGTAGAGGACAAAGAGAAGAAACAGAAAGATGAAACTCTAAGAAGAGTAGTTCTATGGAGTTGCAGACTGTAATCACCTTACTTGTGTACACACACACACACACATACACACACACATGTATATGTGTATTCGGCTGCATGATTATGCAAAAGCAGTCAACATGCACATGATCTTGACAGTATATACCTAAATATTACACCTAGGCACCTTGGCTGTTTCACTCTAGTTATTGAGATAATTGCAGCTGATGTCTCAAGCACAACTAATACTAATTATCTTGATGTTAAACTCTCCTTTCTAGGTCCCCTTCATTCTCAGGCAGATTCTCTGCTATTTCCTGTACACCACGGACAGTGTAGCATGCATCCTCATTTTTCAGTGGTTTCAATTCCTGGTCCCATGCTCTTCAGAATGTTTTTTGTACTTTTCCATTTATTATCACAGCTAGGTAATAGAGCTAAGAGAAATCAAAGTAGATTACCTGAAGGACAAATTGATTCTTTACACAAGAGAAACCAAACTTTTAGTTACTACTGCCAAGATCATGTTTCTTCTTGCATGTCGATAGTTAACCATGAAGAATTCTATGTCTGCAGATGATAACCATAATTCTACTTCAACAGGGCTCTTGCATTATCAGTTAATGAAAATGTGTCCTATCTGGGGACAAAGATTTCATCCTACAGATCCCAGAGTGAAGATAATTGGGGTGCTCCTCCTTTCCCCATCCATTCCCAGACTCACACACTGTTGCCAGTTGGGAACACAACACCATATAAGGCTCTTGATTACTATATAGTGGATCCCTTGTGTGATGTGATAATATATAAGAATCTATACCAGTGGATCAAACACTGGAAAGTCTCTGGTGGTGGTGGAGCCTGAGATCCTGTAGTCAGAAAAGGAAAATCTAATCTTTCCTTAATGATTTTCCCCCATCCAGGGTGGACTGAACACAGTTTAGTCAGTTTTTCATCAAGCGTTCAGTTGGTCTTCTTAGGCAGTAGTAACACATTGGGGGCTAAGTCTTGGTTTTCACTGAAGGTAGTTTGTGGTGGCAGTAACTCTATCAGCCTTGAAAAGTGGAAGTCCATGCATAACCTTTCAGGTCCATGTATAGTCTTCTTCCTTGATACTGTGATAACTTCACTGTGTGGCCATTGGGTCAGTGTTGCAATGGCCAGTGGACAAAGCTGGTTGACATAACCTAACCAAGTTATCTTGTCCCATTGGTTATTTAGAATCTATTCAACAATGAATGTACTTTGTTAGGTATTAACAAGTGATTACTTTCTGTTTTAACCATTTAAAAATATTGTATTTATTATTTTTATTTTATATGTATGAGTATATTGCTCGCATGTGTGTAAGTGCACCTTTGTCGTGCAATGCCTCTGGATGTCAGAAGATGGCATCAGATTCCCCCTGGAACTGGAGTTACAGATGGTTATTAGCCACCATGTGGGTGCTGGGAATCGAACCATTTTTAAAATTTTTATTTCTCAGTATACATTTTAATTGAATTTTGTGCATTTCATACAATACATCTTAATCATATATAACTCCCACCCTATCTGTACTACCCCGTAGCCTGCTCTCTGGATTTCATGTATTCTGTCATACATGTTAAGGCCTGTTGAGTCAAGTTTCTTGGTGTGAGTTCATCCACTGAATCCTGCAACCTATCTAGCATCTCTCCCTTAAAGAAAATCAACTATCCCTCACCCAGCAGTGATCAGCTGCCAAAAGTTCCTCAGTTCAGGATGGGGCCTCCTGCCCATTTCCCCAGTTCTATGCTGTTTTTTTTCTGATTGAGTTTTTATGGAACTTATACATGTCATCATTGTAGTAAATTTATATTTACAACAAGACAAGTATACCATACACCGCTCATCAAAGAAGTTTCTTTTTGCAACAAACGGGGGTTATTAGAGTTCCACAACTGGACACACACAGAATGTATGTTTGAGAGATGTCCATCCCTAAGTGACACATCTAAAGTGGAACTTCAATACCTAAGGTTCAAGGAACATAGTGGAACAGGGGAAAGAGAGAATACTAACACATCCCTCAACTCTCAACAGTGAATCTTTCTATACAACAGAGTGTGATGCACACAGAAGGCCACAACTGGCCAGCTTTTAGAGAAAAAGAGACTGCAGAGTGCTTTTCCCTGGATAGGACTCCTATATTAAACCTCACCCACCCATGGCTCAGGGACCATTACAGAAGAAGTGGGGTAAGATTATAAGAGCCAGAGTTGGTGCATGAACATAAGCAAACAGATGTTTCCGGGCCCCCGGGAACTTGCTCATATGACTTACAACAATGATGACAGCATGCACAAAACCCATGCCAACTCAATCGTACAAAAATCCAGCATAGAACAGGGAAAATGGGCAGCAGGCCCTAACACTAGCTGAAGAATTATTGGTAACCAATTATTGCTGGGTGAGAGAAAGCAGATCCTCTTTAAGGAAGTGACTCTAGATAGGTTGGCTAGACCTCAGTGGATGAACTTGCAAAGAGGGACATTTGGGTACAAATGCTTGACCAGATAGGCCTTAACATATAGGACAGAATGCATGAAATCTGGTGGGCATGAATGGGGGGTGTCTAAATTTGATTAAGATCTACTATATGAAATGCACAAAAACTCAATAAAAAGTTTTTTAAAGTCTTGAAATTTTGTTTTCACTTTCACATACCTTACCTGTAATACCTCAATCCCTCAGTTTGTTTGTTCTCTATCTACTAATATTATTTCATTTCAGACTCCTAATCAGTCATCCAGGTCATTCTCAATCTTTTGAATCCATATAAGTCAATCAGTCAATCATGGGTAATTTCTCTTTTTTTTTTTTTTTTTTTTTTTTTTTTTTTTTAAAAAAAAAAAAAAAAAAAAAAAAAAAGAGGACGATAAATCTTTCACTGTGATATATCAAAATAAAGAACTCACAGAGACCCACCTGCCGTTTCTCTTTTAACACCTGGTTCATGACTGTGGCTAGCAGTTCTATTTATTGGAAAGATTTTTCTTGGCAGCCTTTTAAGTCTGCCTCCAAGGGATGATGTAATGCTTCTCTTATCCATTTTCAGTATATACTCACATAAAGAGCTGACCTTTTATTAAAACAGATTTATTTGATTTTATCCTCTATGTGCTGATTATACAGTGATCCCATAGAGAACATTGATGCTACAAAGGTAGATGACATGGGATCTGACTTCCTCTACACAATATTTGCATGTGCCTGTTGTTCTTTTACTTAGCCCCAGATGAGTCTGCTCAACCTTACATTTCTATGAACCTAACTGAATAAATATTCTCATGAGAAGTTCTAGATATATCATCACTTGGGGTTTCGTGATCTC